GGGGGGGGGGCGGAATCCAGCCGCAGACGCGCGCCTCTCCCCTTTCCTCCTCCAGCGCGGCCACCGACCAACTTACTTGTGCGAGCCTGTGCTACTCTGTCGCCCCGCTTGGGTTACTGCGCGGGGCCCGCCATGCGCGCCTGCAGCAGGGGCCCCGCCAGCGCCCCAGCCGAGGGCCACTTGGTGCTCGCCCGGGCCCCCTCCCCTCACTCGCTCCTTTCTCCCATTTCGGCGCCAGCTCGCGCTGCTCGCCCCCTTCCTTCTTCCTACTCTTCTTCCAGCCCCCTCGCTCCTCCCCTGCTCGTCTCTCCCCTCCCTTCCTCTCCGGCCCACCCTCTCCCTGCCCCCTCCTCGCCTTCCCAGCCGCCCCCCCTAAGTCCCCTCCCCTGCGCCGAGCTCGGCGTGGCCAGAGCCGGACACGTCTGTCCGCGGGGCGTCGCGGCCCGAGCCCCCACAGGAAGCCGACTCGGCGCGTTTCCTCCGCTCTCTCCGAGTGAGGCCCCAGTCTCCCCAAACCCGCCCCCGCTCGAGACCCAGAGCCCCACGGGGCTGCAGAGGGGCTGCGCGTTTCCTTCGCCTGTCCCAAACTCTGCAAAAGTTTGCGACAAATCAGGAGAAAGAGAGAGAAACCACAGTGACCACATCACCTCGAGCCAAGTGTCTGGATAATTGCGGCCCCCCGACTTTGTTGTCCCAAGGAAAGGTGGTGAACAAATTCCTCAGGCACCCTTCGCCCAGCCCCTCGGCCTCTGCCAGGGGTCCTAAGCCGGGTTCCCAGGATCTGGAGTCCGGAGACCACCGCCCACCCTGCCAGAACTTGTCCCTCCGGAAAATCCGGTTAGGGACTCTCCTTCCGTCATTCCCTCCTCTGTCCTGTGGCAGCCCGGAGCATCCCTAACCCCCACTCCTACTCCATTAGCTGTGCGTGGGAATTTGTGTCCGAAAACCAACTTTGGAGATAAAAAGCGGTTCTCCGAGTTCAGCCCTTCTTTCAGCTCCAGAATGGAATCCGAGGCCTTCTAGGGTGGGGGTGCGTGGAGAAAGAGGAGGGAAGGGGACTCTCCCTGCGGGCCAGCCGGGCCACACATGTGGACCTGTGAGCCGAGTTCCTCCTCAGGGGCGTGGGAGTGGGGAGGCGCCGCCGCTAGGCAGTCCAAGGGTGTTCAGGGACCCTCAGCGTGACCCCGGGCCCGGCCCCCAAGAACGGGGGAGGGCACGGAGTCTGCGGCCCGCCGGGTGGGGCTGCGCGGGCCCGTGGGATGATATTCAGGTGGGGCTGCCCGCTGGGATGACAGCGTTTTAGCCACACATGACCCAGGCGGCCTCGGAGCCGCGTCTGGGCTCCACACTACTGAGGCCAGTGAGCAATTAGGGCGGCGGCAACGGCGCCAGGCCAGCTTTCGAAGTCCCGCGTTACGGCCCGGCCCCGGCTTGAAGAGCAACTGAGGCGCTGGGGGCCGGGTGGGGGACTCGGAGCTTCTCCTTGGTCTCCGCCCGCCCCTCTCAGTCGCTACTTACGGTGCTCGCGGGTCCTCCGGGCGCCGTCGGGGCCAGGACCAGCGTGCCCCCCACGGCGCCAGCCACGTTCTCGCCACCCGCGGCCGGGTCCGGCGCTGGGCCGGGGTGGCTTTGGCGGGGAGAGAGGGGGGCGGGCCGGAGGAGGGGCCCCGCCCCCCGGCCCGGGCGGAGTGCTGCGGGGGCCTAGCCTGGCGCCCCAGGAGCAGGTCCCGAGCAGGGTGCTTTCTGGGAGCTCTGAGGAGCGGGGCGGGCTCCCCTTTCCTGGCACGGGCTGAGTCACCGGGACACGCCCGCGCCGGGGCTTGGCGGCTGCTGCATTCTTACCAGTTTACCTGGGCCCGCGGGCTGGCTCTCACACCCCTCATGGGTCAAACTGTGGTATGGGCGTTGTCTCTGGGACAGCCCCTACCGTCTCAGTCTGTCCTTTCACTGCATGCAGGGCCCGTTCCCAACCACAGACCCCAGCGTGCGCCCCACCAGAGCTTCTCAATCTCTATCCAGGGCCCCTAAACCTTGGATCAGCCCAACCTGCAGCCTTGCTGTCCGAAGTCGTCTGCTTGATCTTAAAAGCCACCCCCGCCCCCAAATCAGGCCCAGTACTAACTAATATGTCTGGCTCGTTGGAAACGTAAAAATATGCTATAAATTTAATACCCGCATGCTGATTACACAGGTGTGCTCAGTCTGTGAAAATTCAGCAAGCTGAACATTTATGGTACATGCACTTTTTTGTATGACTACTATTATACTTGAATTAAAAGTTAAAAAAAATTAACACTCATTAAAATCAGCATCGGTAG